GAAGCCTGGCTCCCTTTATACACAGTTCTGCAGAATTCAGATGCATTTTGCGATAAAAATAGAAAATAATGCTATTCATGCAATGCTATGAATTTTGTTGATCATTTAATGGCTTATCGGTACAGAATATTTAGGGAAAGAGCTCTGGTGAATATGTAATGGATTACAGGGGCGTGGAAGTGTCCCTCTTGTACGGGAATCCCCAAACTCGGCCCTCTAGCTGTTTTGGGACTACAGCTCCCATCATTCCTAGCTAACATGACCAGTGGTCAGGGATGATGGGAACTGTAGTCCAACAACAGCTGGAGGGCCAAGTTTGGGGATGCCTGTGTCTTGTAAGACTAGTGGCAAAAACAACGTCCCAATGTTGTAAGCATTCTGCAGCATATTAAAACAGGGCATGTTGAGCTAATAACTTGAAACGCCTTCACTGTAGGAGTTCCCCATGGTTTGGATGCTCAGTCTTGTTTTTTTATCCAGTGATTTAAAAACCTGCCTGCTTCAGATCAAAGTCAATTGCATGTTGACGCAAGCGCCACAAAGCCTAGAAACTGCAGAACCTGCAACCAGCAACAAACTGGCATGCGTCAACTTGCAAGAGGATCTTTCTAGTAATACAGGAAGACTTAAGGTAATACAGGTCCAGAACAGCATGGGGCATCTTTGATGATCCTCGGTGCTCCATCCTCTCCATGTGGATTTTGGAAGACTAAGGAAAAATGTGGGTAAATTGCAAGTAAGTACAGTTTGTGGCACTGCATAACGTCCTTACCGATCATGGGGCATGTCTTTCAAGGCATTTGCCTTGGCTTTCAGCTTCCTGGCATTGTTACGGATTGCCGTGAAGTCTGAGGAACCACATCTACTGTCCTTGATTCTCCAGAAGCACTTTTTAAGGTGAGGATGCTTTAGTTGGGTGACTATTCAATGAAAAATTATTTTCAAAAGGGAGCTCATCTGTATTGGGCAGGGACAATGCATGAGTATTACAGAATGGCAGAAGAAGTAGGAGATCATTGCCCAGGGCTCGGCCTTTTCACTGTCAACCACAGCTCTGTCTCCCTCTCCTACCTCCTTCCTCTGTGGTTAAGCTCTGCTCACAAAGAACAGCAAACAAGACACTGCAGTCAGTTGCTGGGCTGTAGAGTTGCACCTCTCCCTCCCTTTTGTCAGTTAGCCTTGAGTACATCAAATTTCTTGGTTTCTTGCCGGATTCTCCCTGGTGCGGAAGGCACTTGGTACTCAGTCCATTCTGGCCAGTCCAAGTGGGAATCTAAATCGCCCTTCCCATTCGCCCCTTCCAGTGTTGCTGTCATGGCAGGAGTCACCAGAAGGACTGCAGCAGCCGGGCTAATGTTAAACCGCTGAAGAAAATGCACAGTGTCGCTTATTATTTAATAACATTGTTGTGTCACTGTAAAGGGCTAATTGTGTGATCTGGGAAGCAATCCATGCCAGCTTGAATGTGGGTTGCTGGTTAACATTTTGTTGTTATTTTTACCTCGTTCCACAGCACCCTTCATTCCTTTACCATTTTTTCCTCACGAAGCCCAAAGCATTTAATGCTTTAAAAAAATATATTCACAGACACAACAAAGGGAAAATCAAACGTCAAGAGGTATTGCAGAATGTATACAACATTTCAAGTTCCTTTTTTAATCACTTTTCCCCAATATACATTTTTGTACACTATTGGGGGTTGTTAGAATAGCACTACAAAATTTAGAGAAGTGCGAGTTCTGAAGGCTAGCTGTGTCTTGCTTCACCTCGTTTCAGAAACTGCAAAACAGGTAGATTTCCACTGAAATGTGAGCAGAATGGAATTTATCTCCCATCCATATCTGCAAATTGAGCATCAACCTGTTTTAATAATCTCCATTTATGCCATTAACTGATGGCTTCTCTCAATGAACCAATGAATGCTTCCAGCCTCACGCAAGCTATTTTTAATCGTATGTCTATGCAAGCCAAAAGTAAGTCGCAGTGTATCTGTTTTTTGGTTCACTGAGCATTCCTCGCGTGCAACACTCATAAAAGGATATCAAACACACAGAGGGATGGATCCAAAATGCAAAATGACCTGTGGAGATTAGAGCAGGGAAGGCTGCAGGAAACGGAGAGATTTGGCTTTAATGAATGTTAAGCCCTACGCCCACTGAAAGGAAATGAGCAGGACTGACTTGTATAAAAGCAGAGCAAATGTAGCTAGGCAGCCTCCTCAATCCCATTAAAACAGGCCTTTACATTTCAGCCATCTCGGGGGTCAGACCCTCATCACTTCGCATACTTTGTGCAGAGAGCAATGGAAAGTCAGTCCCTTCGTAGAAGAAGTGCATTCCTTTTTAAATAATGCAGCATATCAGTGGGCTCATGCAGTTAGCAAGATGTGAATAGCATCAGAGGGTATGTTTGGACTGGAGAAATACTTCATACTATTTTCTGTCTAGCACATTAAAGGGATTGTGATCAGGGCTAACAAACCCAAACATTTCATGGGCTTTTTCAACCCACGTGTCTGTGCATCTTTTCTGCATGAATGGAATGTGGGCAGGGCAATTCACTTTACGATTTCATGTGGTTATTATTATTACAGATATAATAATAATGAATAGGAGGTATTCAATAAATACCTTGTATTTAGATCTTGTGATTTATACAGTGGTACCTCTGGTTACAAACGCTTCGGGTTACAAACACTTTGGGTTACAGACTCCTCTAACCTGGAAGTGGTACCTCGGGTTAAAAACTTTACCTCAGAATGAGAACAGAAATCGCGTGCCAGCAGCACAGCGGCAGCGAGAGGCCCCATTAGCTAAAGTGGTACCTCAGGTTAAGAATGGTTTCAGGTTAAGAACAGGCCTCCGGAACGAATTAAGTTCGTAACCAGAGGTACCACTGTATGGAAATGGTTCAGTTTGGTTTCATATTTTTAAAAATGTTTTATTTATTGTTTATGACTACTTTTGTTACGCGTAGTTATGTATTTTTTATGTTGTAAGCCGCCTTGAGCATGGTTTGAACTGTGGAAGGGCGACACACAAATAAAATTATGTCTATATATAAATGATCACATGACTGGAACAACTTCCACTTGCACAATGGGACTTTCCCTCCCTTTTCTTCCCCACATGTGCGTTGTGCTGTCCCCAGATCTGCTCTAGAGGGTCGAGGGGAACCCCTAGAACCCCCTGGAGGAGGAGAGGGGGAGAATGTTCTGTTGTGCAAGGAGAAATTATTGTGCTGATTGAAAGTTTGCCATAGGGCTTAGTTAGATTTTAGCCAATGTTCTTTTTCTTGTTTTGCTGTGTTGTTGTTGTTGTTTTAATGTAAACTGCTGTGAATTGCCGGGAAAGCAATGTGTAAGTGTCACAATATTTTTTAAAAATCAGTAGATTTCTGTGCCTGCTTAAGTGCACCACACACTGTATATAGCTCATGGTGATTTGTGCTTGAGGCAACCAGTGTGTATGACAAGTATACCACTCATCCTTAAAGGGGAAAAAGTCACAGGATTTAGGTCACTGGTGCTCTCTTGATTCATATTAAACTGACAAATCTTTGGCACTAAGTGATGGCTTTCTGGTCTTCTGGAGAGTCCGTCATGGACAGTATAAAGTAAGGGTGGAAAAGAAGGAGCATAAAGATATCCTACCCAAGCCCATCAATGGGACCACAGAGCAGCATTTTTCATTGAACATGTCCTTCAGTACTTTGAAACACATTGGCATGGCTTAGCATACTTACCGCAGTGGCCTTGAGTGGTCCTCAACGGTAGAGCTCATGCTTTGTATGGAAAAGGTCCCAGTTTCAGTCCTTGCCATCTCAAAGTAGGTTTCAGACTCCTGCCAGAAACCCCTGGAGAGCTGTTGCTAATCTGTGCAGAAGATGTACTAGATGGACTAATGATCTGACTTGGTATAAGCCCATGTTTGTTGGCATTCCCATGTTTGTTGATTTTGTTTCGGCACAGGTAAGCTAGTAAAAGCCTGTGTGTTTCTCCATCCCAGCATCCCCAGGTATAACCTGAAACCTGTATAACACCTAGGAGAACCTAGTCTTTGAATTCTGCTGCCTCTTCCCACTCTGTGTCTCAAGACTGAAGGTGCTTGCAGAGGACCTGCTCATTCTGATTTGTTTGTGTCAGGGGTCAGCTTCACCTGCTGAACAGCAGCCTGAAGGGGGAGAAGGCAGAGTGACTCCACCTGCAGCTGATCAGCCTTCAAGGACACAGAGGAGAAGGCGATGATGAGAGCCAGCTGGCTTCAGCCTTCTTAAGCAGAACTTCCAGCAACAGGCAGGTGCTGGAATCAATGCTTGTAGTTCCTGGTCCTACCTTGCTGCTTCCTGCTCATCTTGACCTTTGACCCATGGATCGTCTGACCACACAGACTGCTGTTCTTCTGACCCTAGGACTGGACCTGACTTTGGACACTGACTCTGCCTCCAGGCAAGTACACCTCAGAGACTCTTCCAGTTGGCCGGCCTCCAATTCCACTGTGCTCTGCACATTGTTGCCCAGCAACAAGACCATGACAGTTTGAAGGGAGTTTAGATGACAGCAGCTCTTTAATGAGTATTCACTCTGATTTGTTCACAGAGAGGCTAGATGATGTTGTGTCAAAGCAAGTGTTATGTCTTTGCCACTTCCCACTGTTACACACTTCCCACTGCATTTTCTCATTACTTTCCTAATCACAAAATGTCCAGTCCTTTGGAGAAGCATGTTTGTCGCGCAAGACGTCCCAATCAGCTACAATTGTGTGGTCTGAATTTTCCAGTTTGAAATTATTAAATGCTTAAATGCTAAAGGCTAAAGTGAAGCCAAAAATCACAATGCAATATATTCAGATTGATTGGGGGAAGGTCAGTACCTCTTCAGTGGGTATTACTGTACCTTCCTCCTTCCAAGTCTTTTTCCTAATCTTAGAATTGTAGAGATGGAAGGGGCCCTGGGGATAATCCAGTGCAGCCCCCTGCAATGCTGGAACATGCAGCTATCCCATATGGGGGAGGGGGTGTCAAACCTACAACCATGGCATTAGCAGCACCACACTCTAACCAACTGAGCTATCCAGGCTGATACCATCTGCAGGTTGCCAACACAAGAGTGTTGTACTTTAGGGAAAAGTGCCCTTCATTCCATTTGTTCCTCCTGGCTTCTTCCATGATCACCCACATACCTCGGGAAAACATACAGCCAGATTAGCAGAAGGATGCAACTTGCTGTTTTGAGAGCTTGGACCAAAAATGTGGTGGATATATATATCCAGTCAAACATTAAGATGATAGCTTACTCATACCACCATTTAGATAGGCAGCAGCCACTGAAAAAGCCTACGCATCCTGAGATGGCTGTATGCATCTGCAGCCACAAGCAGGATGTGGCACAGCACCAGAGTCATTGTATTATTGGAACCTGAATGCAGCACACTGCAAAGGAAACATAATTGGCCTGCTAGAGGTCAGGGGCTGAGAAGCCAAGGCATTTCTGTAGCTACTATGGCCCATCTGCTTTGGGATCATGACTTTTGCACTGGGCTTTTATACTGATATCTTATGTGGAGGTTGTGTCTGGTCTTTATTGAGTCCCCCCCCCCCCCCCGATTTGCTTGCAGGGAAGTTACATGTCAATGAGCGTTCTGCTTCCAGTTATCCTGATTAGCTTGCACAGTGGTTATATTAATTCACCTGCACTTTCCGCAGGTTTCCCTGTCATTTTCCTATCTGCAACATGCCCATTTTTAAAAACAAACAAACAAAAGGGATTTGTTGCACCAAGGCAACAGGTTACTTTAATCCACCTTAATTGTGCAAATCCGAATTTTTGCTATATGCTCAACCCATTCTTGCAAAATACTGACAGTCTGTAGGCAACCCTGGATGACTTGCTTGAATAGAGACACAAGTTGAAATCCCATCCAGGTATTTTGCAGGGCATGTGAGAATGAGGGACCGGCACTGTGTGAGCAAGTTGCAATGCCGTGTCAATCTTGGGGTGAGGGGGTGGATGAACAAGTAGCAGGCAGTTAATGTCAGGAAATAATAACGCCAATACTGCACTAATTATTCTTTTCCTCTGGGCTCCTTGTAAACTTCAGGAGCGTGGGGTGGGGGTGGGGTAGGGGAAGCCAGTAATTTATGTTAGAAATAAGAGGATGCATCTGTTTCCGGAATGAGGTTGATCAACTCAAGTCACAGGTTTTCTGTTCTGAAACATTACTTTCTTCAATTAGGAGTTCCCCTCTGTGTGTAACAACTGAGCTGTATATGCAAGTAAGGACATTATTACATCATTTGATGACAAGGAAGGGAGATTTCTGAATATGCAAACTCTTCTTGGTGCAATTTTTAGAGTGAAAGTAGCTGAAATGGTATGGAGATTGGGGACTGAGTGCCCCTAATTTAAACACATTTCAAAACGTTAAAAAGCTTTTGTGGCTTGTGCTTGATTCTGTAAAGTCTATCTAATATTACCAAGAGGTAGGAAAAGAGAAAACACAACTCCACCCACCCCCTTTTAATGCCTCTTGACACTAACTATGGATGTTTTCATATAAAAGCCCCTTGGAGCCATATTTGAGTGTTCTTAATGCAGAAGAGGGAACATCTAGTCTTCTCTGCTGTGGCACCTATTGGTGCAGTGCTCTCCCTGTTGAGATCGCCAACTGTGGGGCGTTTCTGCCATCAACTGAAGACCCATTGTTTAATCCATACTGTCCTTGACCACTACTACCATCCCTAGATGGCTTGGTTACTGGGCAGATATTTTACTGATGAATTGAAATGTTATTGTTTCATTTTTATGGTAATCTACATTGGTATTTTCTCTATAAATGGGAAATGGAAATGACCACCATCTTTATCATCACCATTAATTTAAAATGGATGTGAACCAGAGCCTACCTGCCTATGAGGCAGGGTGAGGTGGCTGCCTCCGGTGTTGCCCCCTGCCTCAGCTGCCACCCAGCTTTGCTCCTGGTGTCCCTAGCCTCTAGGGGCAGAGTGGGACCAATGGCAAAGTTCTGAGGAACACCTCCCCTCCTGCCGATTTGTCGAGAGGGGAGGAGTTCTGCCACTCAGCTTTGCCCCTGGGCAGGGACACCTTCCCACCTAGTTGTGTGGCACGGCTTGGCACCAGCTTCTCCTGAAGGGTCCTTGAGCTCCAATTATCCCAGTTCTTTCCATTCTTCCTCAGGATCTGACCACCCCCTACATGATACTTCCATGGGACTCATGGGACCATTAACTCTATATGTTTACAGAAATCCAGCACATGCCAGAAGTAAGCCCCACTCTGTCCAATGGGGCTTACTCCCATGCAAATGTGCAGAAGATTGCAGCCTTATATGTCCCTATTTACTCATGGGTTCAGTACAGTTGTAAAAGGAGGTCTGCTGGCAGAAGGAGATTTTGCAGAGCTTTGGGTTTATCCTTCAAATGCATACGGTCTGTAGCAGAACTATCTAGGCTTCCCTAATCTTGGCAAGGCTTTGGTGCAACTTGTTGGCAGCTCTCCATCGGTGCATTCTTAGAAAGCCCTGGACATGTCTGCTCAGCCACCTTTCCGTCCTTCTCCTCCCAGATCAGTCTGGTTAATTTATAGCAAGAGGTAGCGGAAGTCCCAGACCTGCAGTGCAAGTTCCTGCTGGTTTCACTTGCTGCCTCCTCTGGCCTCTGAGGTCCTTCTTTTTTTGCCCAATTATTCTGAAGAGGCTTGTTTTGCAGTGCTCATTTAGTTCACTTACTTTGAAACACTCAAGATGGCTAATAATATACTGAATGATTAAAGTCAGTGCACAAAAGGTTCCACTGGTAGAATTCCAGCTTCTGTGATGATGATCTCTGTTGAGAGGAACAAGACAAATCTTAAATATTTATCTTGTACGTCAGGTCTAGGCTTTCATTACTATGTTGGTTTAATTTTTGCTAATCATTGATATCATTCTGATAAAGTGATTGTTAGCTGCCAGAACAGTGGGATCTACATATTAAGTTAAATATTAGATTTTGCAACACTATTGTAAAACTCTTCTCTTCTACGCTGGTGTTCAGTGTGTCTTGATGAAACTGCAGCTGTTGAACATCCCACTGGTTCCTCTTAAGATCTTGTCCTGGAAGGGATAGCGTCAGTGCAATTAAACATGACAACATGAAAAAACTATTTATCTTATAAGAATGATTACTCAGCTGAGTCAGCCATGATGCCCGATGGGCCCTATATTCCTTCATACTGTGATGACAGGTGTGGCTGTCTCATGATTTTGAAATATTACTACAGTGGTACCTCTAGTTACGAACTTAATTCGTTCCAAAGGTCTGTTCTTAACCTGAAACTGTTCTTAACTAGAGGCATGCTTTCGCTAATGGGGCCTCTTGCTGCCCCTGTGCCACTGGCACACGATTACCATTCTCATTCTGGGGCAAAGTTCTCAACACTCTTCCAGGTTAGTGGAGTTTGTAACCAGAAGCGTTTGTAACCTGAGGCGTTTGTAACTTGAGGTACCACTGTTCTTCTGTTGCTGTAAACCAGGGGTCAGCAACCTTTTTCAGCTGTGGGCCGGTCCACCGTTCCTCAGACCATGTGGTGGGCCAGACTATATTTTGGAAAAAATATATGAATGAATTCCTGTGCCCCACAAAAACCCAGAGATGCATTTTAAATAAGAGCACACATTCTACTCATGCAAAAACACGCTGATTCCCAGACTGTCTGCGGGCCGGATTGAGAAGGTGATTGGGCTGCATCTAGCCCCCAGGCCTTAGGTCTACCCCTGCTGTAAACTTTACTTTTGAGGACTTTTACGCAGCCAAGGGTATGGTGAATGTGGGTTTTCCTGCCCACTTACGGGTGCCATGTCCGGGCCTATAGGAAGCTTTTACCAAGTCAGATCACTGGACCATCTAGCTCAGTATTGTCTACAGTGGCTACACTGGCAGCAGCTCTCCAGGGTGTCAGGCAAGGATCCCTCCCAGTCCTAGCCAAAGATGCCTAGGATTGCAAGCAGAAGGTCCCAGGTTCAAAACAGATCCTCTGCCACTGAGCTGCAGCCCTTCTCCTTGTTCACCTGAGCTTAACACGAGTGGAAATGTACTTTCCAGGTCAAAAAGCTGCAGATTTTATATAGGATAACTGAGTGGTTTGTTTTGCTTGTCGAAAACTTTGCGATCGGGCAGGACTCCATTCATTTACCTAAGTCAGGCTAAACAGGGAGAGGCTGAGCTGCCGGAACTTAAACTTGGGGGGCAAAGATTTTCACCATGAAACTACTCTGATCAGCGCTTTCAGGGTTTTGTGGTTTCCAGCTTTTAAAAATTGAAACATTTTTGGCTTGTTTATGAGATTCCAGAATTCTAGCGATTACATTAGGTGTTAATAGTACCGTTGATAGTGCTACTGTTTGGCCTCCAATGAACTCTAGATTATGGCATTGTTAAAATTAAAGGAATTCCTGTTCCAGGCTGTTATTCTTGGCTGTCTGAGTACTGTGGTTTTTCACGGCAAGCCATGTATTTTCTTTAGTACAAATTTCCTTCAATTCATCAGCAGAGATTTGGGCTGTTCCACTTAGACTTTGTGACTGTTTTTTTGGATGGGCTTGTGAACATGCCAGTGATGAATTAGAAGGCTGTTCGGGACATTATCTTAGACATCTTGTTCTATTTTCACTGTGTACCTTTCCTTCCCAAGGCTTTCCTCCTCTTCAGAATTGTTTTCTTCACTTCAGCATTACTTTTCTAGAATGAAGACACATTGTTGTAGGAAAGGGTAGAGCTGGGCTATTCAATTATATAAAAGAAAGCAAAGGTGTATCATCCAGGGAAGGCAGGAGGAGGCACTTGTAATTCTGTGTTTAATCACACTGTGCAGTGCAGTGATGAATGAAAAAAGTCCTTTCCTGCTTTCTGTAGCCCTGGGAGAGTCACGTATCTTTTGCCTATCAGGATTCACATCTGTAAAAATGTTTGTAGCAGGCTTAGTGTGAACCCAAGATCTCCTGACATGTTTTTGCGAAGCTTTTTGCAGATATAGTCGCTCAGATTCGGAAAGAGGTAGACTCCACCGTGGGAGCAGGGCCG